TGAACATTCTGATAGTCCATCCGATTATTTAATACTTTTTCGCACACAAAAATAAAGAGTATATAATGTTGGTTCTCAGTAACTATAACCTTGAAAACCGGTTTTCATCCTTGTCACGGTATTAAAATTGTACACTTAGATCAGAGTAAAAGAGAAATTACTCAATCCTTGTGAAACTGCCGAAAAAGAGCCTTAAGTCGATTAAAGCAGGTCGCATTTAGATCTTGCATGCATGATGCATCTCTTATTAATGTTTATCTATGACACCAATTTTTTCTTTTTCTGAAACATTTCTTATTCAAGAAATATATATAACAATCATTGAAAACAGAATTTATGTTTGTGTCATACCCGAAGAATGAACAGAGGTTAAGTTTAATTCATCAGGCATTTCTTTTAATAAGTTATTTTCATAGTGCTACAATTCTCATTCTTAGTCTCACGCATTCCAATACGGGCACGATCGGCCTTTTTACATCCGCCATTGTAATGATATAAGCGAAAACTCTTATCATTAAGTGTAACATTTTGGAAGACTATGTTGAAATATCGCAATGAATTAGTCAGTGTCAAGTTTAATAGATCCTTTTAAAAGATGAAAAACAAGAGATTTTTTTGACAAAAATGAGAACATACATAAAATAAAAATCTAACCGCACGGCTGTTTCACTGTATCGGCTATCTTGAGCAGTCTTTTTGCCCATTCAGTCAGTTGTTTGGCTTCATGGTGTGTGGTTGTCTTAGCCTCCGCCTCTAAATAAGCTCTCAACTCATTCGCCAATCGTTCCAGTAGATCCAGCTGATTTTCGTACATGAGAATTTTATCGATGTAATCCATGGCCCATTCCAAATGGGATTGAATGTTTCCGCAAAAGACAAATATTTTACTTAGGTGGTCACACGCATAGATTTGTGGCACGGTTTGTTTAGCTAAAGGGCCAGATGTGATCAGGAATATTTTCTTATCCGAATTCTTCATGATAAACTGAACACAATCATCAGTTTTAGTAAAGGTTTTTAGTTGATTGGATATCTTTTCAAATTTGCTAAGTAAATCGTTCCCAATATTGTTGTCTAACCAGATAATTAAATGATTCATTTCGAAGTCTTACCTGCACACTTGTTGATTAGTATTAAAGTGATAAAATCATCACTATTTATGTGTCGATACAAATGACTCGCATGACACAACTATTCCGCGACCAACACTTCCGTGAACCGGCTCTTCCGCAAATTTTTCGTAATACAAGTTTGAGTATTTCTTGCAATGTGTGATGGATCAGAGATGTGACCGGTATCAACAATCTTCTAGAGCAGGACTGGTAATCTCTACTATGTGAATATTTTCTTTCTTCATGTTTTTCTTTCGTTTTTATCGTTTGTTGCACTATTATCAGCGCTAAAATACAAGGACAGTGGTTACTTTTTGGATAACTCAAGAGGAATAAAAGATAGACACTTGCAGTTTTCATTATGCACTAGCCAAGATCGCGGGCTATGTTTTCATAAGCAAAAACGAGTTTGGAAAAATTTCAAAGATCGGTTTTTCAGGAGATCTGTGGAAAACCAGTTCGGTTCTCTGAAAGCTGACATAGAAATCTATGGATTAGTTTTTATACATCCATAGTCCGAAGTGTTCTGTACAAAACTGGATATAAGAGACATCTTTGAAATCTATGGTTCGGGAGCTATGGATGTTTTTTCAGAAGCCTTAACACTCCTTTGTCGTTAGGCTTTTACACTTACATACTAGGAAAATATATAACTGGCCGGATCAGAAATTTTTCGACCGGTTACCGACCCGGTCAAGAAAATCTTGACCGGTTACATCTATGTGGTGGACGTTGAGAGCAGTACCAGAGTGTGTTCGAAAAGCAGTTTTACCCAAAGGATATTTCCATGACATAGCACGAATATGCTTCAGTTTTCAAGTACTTATCTGGTATGTAAGCAGTTCAGGATGAAGCTATATTAAAATTGTTATAACGTGTAGGTTCAACCATGGCGATTGTTTTGTTAGTTTTCTAAAGTTTACCGTCTTAACATCTATTTTCAAAACTTCGCGAAGGAGTCGGTTCGCGGAAGAGTCGATGAATTCTTTTATTAATTTATTTTCAAAAAAGTCAAAGATTTTCATTTATAACAATATCAAACTACAACTTCAAATATATCAGAAGAAACGAGGGCTGGACGGATATTCGATTTCAGAATATCCGAAAAATATGTTATAAAAAATATGTTACATAACGCGCTTTTCCAGCGTTTCTCTCTTCTATTTGGTTTCCCTTGGTTTTTCAGATGAGGCGGTTTTTCGTGAAGCACTAGGATTGGACTTTCTGCCTCTTACAACTCAAAAATACACAAGACATAGATAATCGGTCCTACTGATTAACGTGGCAACATTTATACCCCCCCCCCTCCATAATAGAAGACCATCCGTTTTTTTTCCAGCAGTTTGTGGAGGACACTTCGGAGTATATGTCCCAACAAAGCTTTCGGTTCCCGGATTTGTAGTTTTTGATAAAAAAAAATTTTAAGTTTTTTTCGGGTTTTTTGCCCTATTTTTAAAACTTCAATAAAAACTTCATTTTTTTATATGAAGGGTTGATTCTAACGTAGTTCGATAGACAACATTAATTTGTATACGGAGAAACCCTTTTCATCGTTCTCGAATCGCCGCAGAAATTTAACGTTCGCCTTCCCGAGGAAACTTCAGAGCTAAAAGTATTTTTCACCTCGCCTTACGGCTAGTTTCGCTCGAAGCAAGCATTTCGAAGCAAAACTCTGAGTGGAAAAGTTGTTCAGAATCAAATTTTGGAGTCTCTGACGAGAGCTTTTTTTAAAATTTTTTGCTTTTGATTTTTTAATTGAAAAATACTAAATTTTAAAACTTTAAAAACCATAAAACTTAATGGATAAAGTCTTATCCATTAAGATAGACTTAATAGTTATAAACTTAATTAGAGTAGGCCAAATTAACGTTAATTAGTACTAGTTAGTCAATACCAGGAAGGAAAGAACAAAAATTCTTGCATATTTTCTCGTAATAAATATTCTCCACACATTTCTCTATCTCTATCGCAAGAACCAAGCTTTTGTGGTGAATGGAACATGGACAGGAATTTTTTTAATAGTAATCCCTTGTTCAAAAATTTAACAATATTTTTTTAAGTAATTAATTTTTTTCTCAGCCGAATAATGTCAGTAAGCCGAAAAAACTTCTGGACATATACTTCGAAGTGTCATCTACAAACTGGGAACGTTAGAGAAAAATCTAAATGGGTGACGGTCCCTTAAGATGGTTCGAAAATTTTTTTTAACTTTAAGAATTTGTGAAGCACATCGCCTGACGTAGGTTTTGAAGCTGATTTCCAATATCAACTTAAAATTTCCAAAAAAATTAATTTTGGTCTCAAAAAATGAAATTCAAATTTTATTTTTAATTTCCTCATCTAAATATTTTCGCGAAAAAAATTAAGAGATATGGCATTTTGTAAAGAAACAAGATGGTGTATTTATTTTTGAGTTTAGGTGCTTTCCAAGAAAGTTGATTTTCCGAAAGATCAAGTTTTGAAACGCATTTTTCTCCAAGTCAAAACCTTTTTCTACAGTGTATCGGAAAGATCAGATCAGGTACTGTCTAATACTATCGGAAATATTTTTCTATGACGACTTTTGTAATGTAAGTTTAACCTTCTGATTTGAAAGAACAAAAAAAAGCTGTAATTCCGTAACGGACTGTTTGTTCAAATTTTTATATCATCTAGCGATTCTAATCGAAAACCAATGGATATTCTGAAAACTGGTTTCAGGCTACACAACTTTACTTCAGAACACATCTCAAAAAAAGCTTTCATTAAGCAGAAAAATGTAAAACTTAAATATCACTGGAAAAAAAAATCCATTTTCGGTAATTCCGTAAACGCCATTATTTTTTTAACAACTCCCTATGGGATGATTCAAACTCGACGAAATTTTCGGACATGATAAAACTCGGTACTGCCTACCTCTGGTAAAAGTGTCAGTGCATTCGGATCACTCTCAGAAAAGTAATGGCACGTGATAGTTGAAAAAAAGTAATTCCGTAACATTTAGACAAGCCGCTCGCTCTATTTAAATTTTGCCTCTCGCTTCATGTTTAAAATCAAAGTATTTATTTACCAGGTAGAATGCTTATTCCAATTATTATTAACAATAGCTTATAATAACCTAAGTGTGAGTAAGATCTGTGAACTATGCCAAAAGAATTCCATACGATGCTACCCTAGGTGACCCAAACATGGGTAAGATTCCAGTTTTATAATTTTCTTATAATCTCTAATTCACAATTCATTTAAAATCAATTATTGTATTATTTATCTGTTCAATATGATTGTGTAATTAAGATTAGTAAAATAGATTCTCTGACTACTGAATACTTCTGGAAAACATTCTGAAAAATCGAAGTACTTTCTGTTCACTTTCAAACACTGTATTGAAATGCATGATATAGTGTAGATAATATACACTACATTTTGGTATTCTGACGTAGTTCGTGTCGATTTAGGTTAAGTTATGAATGTTCTAATCTTACGCGAGATTTTTAATGTTTTCAGTTTTGTTTTCACTTTTTCAACAAATACCCGATGCGCGCTCATGAACAGCTGTGCAGACCTAAAAATTTAAACATTTATGCGTTGTACGCTCTGAGAACTCAAGATATAAGCTCAGTATCTTGATTTATACTGGAGTTGTAGCAAGAGAGGCCAAAAGAAGATTTTTTTTGGATTCTTTTCACAATCATCTTAAAGTTATATCTAGCCTTAACGAATATCTATTGACCGATACGAGAATATGCCTGATACTGTACCATCAGAATAAAAAAAAACTATGATGATTTCTTTCCCCTATCAAAAATATACATTTACATATTTAATTATGAAATAATTTTACATTACACAAACATAAGAACAATTTTTGAACTCTCAATAGTTCACAATAAGCGTGTGACAGTGAACTTTTTAGCGCCATTCATCTTGACTATATCTGTATACATATTTTGCTTTTTTTCTGTAACTCCTTCCATCGCTAACACTTTGATCCTGTAAATAACGCAATAATGATTGTATTGTATCCAAACATTTGTCACTATTTCCAGCGTTTTCATGTGTACTCATAAACGTCTCTGCTCTACCAAGTGTGTTGGAACCACCAAATCCACTATCTCCTCCGACTTGTGAACCACCGTTTTTATAACGTAATAACGAAGCTAACACATCCAAACATGTATCGCCACTCTGGTCTTGGTTTGGATAATTTCTTTTTTCGGGGGCGCGGAATGAAACAGAACCATTAATTGAACCACTATCGGTTCCATTCACAATTGAATCATTGACTAAATAGAAAAAATTAGGTTTTTTATATCTGATAGTGATGTTTGAGTGTGTAAATCTCTTTAATAAACAAACAGAAATATTCCAATAAGTAAGTGTTTGAGTAAAATCCAATTTCAAAGAAAAGATAATATGTACAAACCTTGAACACCAGAAATATTTGACGTAATAAACAAGAGACAAGAAGCGACGATTATAAAGATAAACATTTTTGTAATGGAAATGATTTACTGAATTTATTTAATGGACTAAAAAGCATGTGCTGTACAATGAGTATATATAGGCAATGAACAAAAAGAGAATAGGCCTGTAGAATGTAAATGCTAAAACTTTCGTCAAAAAAGACACATTTTACATTCAAAATGTTTCTTGTATCAGCTGCGCCAGAATAGAAGTCTGTTCTGGCTGATACGAGTCTCTTTTTTGACCAAAGTTTTAACATTTACAATTGTTACTACAGGCCTATTGAATGACCGAACAAACCATGGAAGAGAGAGAGAGAGAGAAAATAGCGTACAAATAAGATGAGTGAATAAAATTATCACTTTATCTCACAGTCAATTTTGTGTTTTGTTTCCTTTTCAGACGACACTATAGCGGAACGTTCTTTTCTTAAAAACTCATTGTACGTTACGCTATAAAGTCGTCTGAAAAAGAAACAGAACGCAAAAGTGACTATGTGATAAAGGAGTGCTAGACGAAATGTGAAAGATAATTATATGACTTTGAATTAATTCGACCTATCAAGTTCTAGTAAAATAAGATTTGAACATATTTTTTCTTAGAAATTCCTATAAATTAATTAAAAACTATTCAAATGTTCAAATGGATTAATCATCAAACTGCACTTTTTTACAAGTTAAATACTTTATTCCTAAGTATTCGTTGAGAATTTCATCCCGATCTATTTCGATGTAATCGAAAAGACTTGTCCACTTTTCTTAGGAAAAATTTTCACGGTTCGTGACAGATCTTATTCTTGAACTTATTGTCAGTTGCACAATTCACTTTAATCTAAAGCTAAATTATATGTTTTTCTCTAGCGAACGAAATGAAAGCGAATAAATTTTATCTTTTAGAAAAATCAGTTCTCTGTGTTATTTTTTCAAAATCTGACTCCACATTGTAAAAAATTTTGAAAAAAGTTCAAGAATAAGATCAGGATGAAGAAAATACTACGCTCATCAAGTATTTTTTCTAATTTAAAGCAACCGCCCTATGATAAACGAAAAAACATATCTCGACTTGATCTAAATGACTTTAACTCGTGTTTTCATCAAATTTCCTGTGAGCTAAATTCACTGTTTGAACCTGATTGGTGAGTGAGAAACGTAACTCGAAGTCTCGCATCCACTTTTATGGTACTGGCATCTCTTAAAAGACGGTTGAGTGTTTTTTTGGCAAGAAATTTCACTATAAAGTTTGAAAATGCTGAAAAATGGCGGTGCTGTTAGTGCTAGAGAAAAGGATGAATTTTTTCACATATAAGATATAAAAGGATAGACTATGTGTATAGATTTGATAGCTTAATAGGATAGAGCATAGTATGATGAATATTCTTTTCATCAGCACGGGTTCGATTCCAGCTTGAATCTTTTTGTTTTTTTGGACAGTTTTTTTCACCATTATTCATGTGCGTTACTATAGAAGACTGCTCAACATCATCGATCTCGGAAACTCGTGTAGTGTTTGCCCTCTAATTATAGCAATAGATTTATTCTATTAAAAAAGATCTTTACTGTAAATTTAGGCTTTTGAAATGCAGTTGAGTCAATTAAACATAAAAACTCCTCTTCGACAAGTCTTGAGAACCAATAGCAAAAAATAGACTGTAAACGAAAGAAGGAAGCGAGAAAAACAGAAAGACATCAGCGATCACTGACTTTTCAATTGCTATAATTAGAGGGTGTGAAGAAAGATATCTTGTTATTTGCTAGATATCTAATAGCAAACGAAATTTCGTCCATTCTGTACCTATAATAGATTTTCGCTTTCTTTCTCTTTCTACAAAGTAAGAGAAAAGGAAAGGCGAGAGGACGATATTCGTCTATATCTACACGTAGAAATCTAGTTTACGTCTACGTATTCCATTATTTTCGTGGCTTCCCTAACTTAAATGAAATCCTGCATTTGACATAACATAAAGAATTTCTAAATAACAAATATCTTCTAGAGAAATGTTAGACAGGGACGAACGACATTCAATATATTTCAACATCCAGATCGTAACGATGTAAAGTATTACCACGATTTTACTATTCAGATTGACGTTCAGCAAAATGTTATCACTAATATCGGTTATGTTTTCAAAAGTTGGCTACGACTCTATACCAGCCATCTTCTGATTTACATGTGTAATGTCTAAAAATATCGGAGGTGTATACAGCAAACAGATAATTTTACCAACTATCTCCGTTACATATAAGTTTTGTACCTTCATCCATGTATTGATAGAATTCTCTTTCATTATAAGGATAATGTGGTTTAGATTTAAATTTACGTCCTTGTTCAACAGCCATTTATCAGTATCTAAATAATCATATTTCACTACTAATGCACAACATTTTTCATATTATTCTTTTTACTGCTCATTTGCTTTCATACTAGGATTCCAGGAATGGTATAATGACTAGTCGATTCCATCCTGGATCCTATTAGCTTGTTCTTCTACAACTACTTTTATGAAAATAAAGTTTAAATAAAATAAATAAACAACAATAAGAAACATTCATATTCAGATAACTTATCATTTAGCTGTTGAAAATCCGTAGTCTCCATTGCATTATAGATTTCAAATATTTTACAACGATTTACTGAAATTGTCTTTTGTAGAATAGCAGAATGTTTTTCAAAAAACTCGAAAAAAAATTTTCGATCCATCGGGGGGCCTTGGCACGCCATTTTGGTGTCTATTTTCGACGATGAATTTCTCTGGGTTGTGCAAGTTGATAAGCTTCAAATCTTGTCAGTATATACTACTAACCTTACCCTATTAGAATCTGTTTTCGGACGTTCGGCTTTTTACTTCAGGACCTGACTGGCTCGTACTGAAGTAAATCATGATTTCATAGTATGCTCACCTATCGGATAAAAATTTGTCCTTGACGTATTTTTTTAAACAGAATAACAAATTCCTGTTCTCCATGAAATTCTACATCGATTGGTATAGTTTTTACTACTACAGATTGTATACTCAAGACTCTAGACGACGTTAACCACCCAACATCATCCGTTTTGGTCCTGATCGGGGTTCTTTTGTGGTGAGGATAGGGCAGATGAAGCTAAGAACGGTGTAGTTTTGTAGAACTTATTTCGGGCTATAAATAACTATCTTCATTTTTTTCTGAACGCACATCATAAACGAAATGGCGGCTTTTAATGACGCAAACCTAGAAAAACCACGCACTGCATTCCGTAAATATTTTAACATGGACAAGGATTGCCAATGTAAAAATAATATGGAATATATAGTTTCAGATTCTCTATCGAATGAGACTAATTTAAGCCAGAATAAAATTATGCTTCGTTCAAGAACTCGGTTTTTGACCGTCAGGTTTTCTGAAAAACCTGACAGTCTCATTAAATCATTGTAAAATATTTGAAATCTATAATGCAATGGGATTTTCAACAGCTAAATGATAAGTTATCTGAATATGAATGTTTTGAAAAATGTTTATTTATTGACATATGAGAGCGGTGTAGTATCAAGGAAAGAAGAGAAAATTGAGTATAGAACTACTAGAAAAAGCATAACGAGATTTTTATGCAAAATCTAGATTACTGTTGATTGACTTTTGAGTTCTTGGTGGTCTAGCAGTACTATACTCAGTTTTGACTTATGAATGGACAAGAAATTTTAATGACTATTAATCCACTTTTTGAAAAATAATGGGCTGTTGGTCATAGTTTTAAAAACTTGTGTCTTGTTAAGCCTACAAATAAAAGATTTATTGAAAGAATAGTTAGAACGGAACATTTTAGCTCTGACCGCTATTCCCTTTACAGGTCGGTCTTCTTACGGATCCGCTCTAAAAACCTGCATCACTAAATGATTTTTGCTTGTCGGGTAGCGAGTCATTTTTTAAAAGAAATCTTTTACTCCAAAATTTTCTTTTGTCAAATTAATATGCGTGGTTTTGCACGCACTAGAGCTGTTGGACAGCAGAGAGTGAAAACTAGTCAACCAATAAAAACGCTTCTAAACGGTTCTTTTACCAAACCCAAGCAAATATCACCTATGGGAAAAATCTAGATACATTTCGTCTGTAATCGGGCGATACACGACTAGTTGCCATCTAGATTACTAGTTGGAAAAGGGACTTTTAACTAGATGCGTCTGCACGTGCAACTAGCAGTAGTTAAATCGATCGATTATCGGGCGATAAATCGATAGCTGCAACTAGAGAAAATCTAGTAATCGCCCAATTACTAGATTTCCACTGTCGTTACACAGTAGTTGCAATCGAGTAAAAATCTAGTAATCTAGATGAATCGGGCGATACTAGATTTTTTTTTGACGCTTGGGAATAATCGTTTTTTTGAGACCATACATAATAGAAGTTGTTTTTAAATGGATATACTGTTTCATTTTGTTGTAAATTTATCTTGGGACCGAACAATCTCTCCATCAACAGTAATACTTAAGCAAAATGTCCGACGAATTCCGAGTGCAAGGCGGTAAGTGGAAGTTATTGATGTGGTTGTTGAAATTCCTTTGGATTGCTGAGAAAATTCATTTTTTCTAAATCTTAGGCGAAAAGTCGGAATTCTCAATCTTCTCAATCAGAACTCAACTTCTATTTAATAAAAATATCCTTTTCGGAATCAGAATCAAAAAGTCAGTCGACTGATGTGTATATCTATCCTATACGAGTACTTTGATTTTTTTCGAATTTTCACGTTGAAAAATCATCGAGATTTTGACCAAAAAATAAAAATAAACTAAAAAGCTCGAATACATTGAGTATTACGAGCAGAATTACGACTTTTTCGTCTCAGCTTTAGAAAAAATGAATTTTCTCCGCAATCAAAAGGAATTTCAAAAAAAAGCGATTTATGCTTTTATTCTACGTTTCTAGGTGAATTGGATAGCGTGTGAAACTTTGTTTTTCGCGGAAAAGAGATCTGTCAAGTTTTTTGAATTTTTTCACTGATAATGTGTACTGGGAAGGCTAAAAACCAGATATTCTTGATCAGTGTAAAATTCTCT